AGTATAATGTTAGCTGTGGGTTTTTTCATGTACAGCCTTTATTAGGTTGAAGTTTTTTTCTTTTCTTAGTTTTTGAGAATTTTATCATGAAAGAGCATTGAAATTTGTAGATTTGTGAAATACTTTTTTTCTCCATTAATTCAGATCATCATGTGATTGCTTTTGTTGTTCTTCAATTATTACTATTTTTTTTTAATGTTGAATCATCCTTGCTTTCCAGGAATGAATTCCACTGAGTCATGGTGTTTAATCCTTTTAATATGCTATTGAATCCAGTGTACTAATACTTTTTGAGGATTTTTACATTAACATTTATAGGATCTATTGGTCTGTAATTTCTTTTTCTTATAGTGTCTTTGTCTGTCTTTAGTATCAGGCATATGCTGGCCTCATAGAATGAGTTAGGAGCAGTTTACTCCTCTTCAATTTTTTGAAAAAAAGTTTGAGAAAGTTAGAGTTGATCCTTCTTTAAATAATTGGTAGAATTCACCAGTGAACACAAGAAACAACGTGTGTTTGTAAGGATGTGGAGAAAAAGGAACTCTTGTGCACTGTTGGTGGGAATGCAAATTGGTGCAGCCAATGTAGAAAACAGTATGGGGGTTCCTGAAAAAATTGAAAATAGAGTTACCCTTCAATCCAGTAATTGTACTACTGGGTATTTACTCAAAGAATACAAAAACACTAATTTGAAAGGATATATGCACCCCTATGTTAATTACAGCATTATTTATATAGCCAAAATATGGAAATATGGAAGCAGCCCAGTGTCCGTCAGTAGATGGATGGATGAAGAATATGTCATTTATATATATATTATATATATAATGTATATATAATGAAATATTATTTATTCATAAAGGAAAGAAATCTTGCCATTTGCAATTACATGGATAGAGCTAGAGAGTTTAATGCTAAGTGAAAAAAGTCAGAAAAAGACAAATGCCATTCATATGTGGAATTTAAGAAACAAAGCAAATGAACAAAGGAAAAAAAGAGGGACAGAGAGACACACCAAGAAACAGACTCTTAAATAAAGAGAACAAACTGATGGTTACCAGAGGGGAGGTGGTGGGGGGTGGGGGGGAGATGTGTGAAATAAGGGATGAGGATTAAAGAATGCACTTATCATCATGAGCACTGACTAATGTATAGAATTGTTGAATCACTATATTGTACACCTGAAATTAATATAACAGTGTATGTTAACTAAAATAATAATAAGACAAAAAAGGAAAAAATACATGAGCACAGACATTAGCTCTAGGGGAGAAATGGGAGACATGAAGGAGCAGTACTCTGAAATGTTGTATTTTGAAGAAAAATACCAGACCTCATTTCACAAGGATATCACTCTATAAATCATGAAACATAACAATAGATAATATACACTTAAAAAATGCATTTTTGTGACTAAATGGCAGCTTGTATCACACTTCCTAAAAACTCACTGAAAATCATAATTGATTGGTTTTCTCTGAGCAGATAAACACATTTTTCTTAGTTTTGTCTCAGTGTGCTATCTTTGAATTTATTCTACCTTGAGTTCATCAAGCTTTTTGGATTTGTAGATATGCATCTTTCCTTAAATTTCCCTAAATGGGAAATTTTTGGTCATTATTTCTTCAAGTAATCTCTCTACACTGTTCTCCCTCTCTTCCCCAAATGGGACTCCTGTGACGTGTATATTGGTCCACTTGATAATGTCTCATAAGTGCTTTAGGCTCTGTTCTCTTTTCTCATTCTTTTTTCTTTTTCTTCCCCAGACTTGATAATTTAATATGACCTGTCTTCAAGTTCACAGATCCTTTCTTTTTTTTTTGCCTGTTTGAGCGAGCTGTTGAACATCTCTAGGGAAGTTTTCACTTCATTTCTTGTATTTTTTGGCTGTAGAATGTCCGCTTTTTAAATGCTTTCTATCCCTTTATTGGCATTCTCATCCTGTTTGTATTTTCCTTATTTCTTTTAGTGTTTGTCCTTGTTTTCCTTTAGTTCTTGGAGTGTATTTAAAACAGATATTTTGGAGTCTTTGTCTATTAAGCCTCATGCCCGTGTTTCTTCAGGGATGGATTGTGGAAATTTATTTTTTTTCTTTGAGTGGGTCATGTTTTCCAGTTTTTTTGTATGCCTTGTGATATATTGTTAAAAATTGACCATTTGATGAAACAGCCATCTCTCCCTGTCTTTACAGAGAGGCTCTGTGCAGGGGAGAGCCTGGTGTGAGAGCTCATGGTCTCTGCAGTTGTTTTCCAGGCCTATTTTCTTTCTCAGCCTGTGTATATGCTTAAATCCCCCCTGTATATATGGCTGCTTTTAAGTGTCTTAATTTCTCTAAGAGTCTTACCCTTGCTTCTTCTCAGGGCCTTAGTTGTTTTGTCATATTTCTCTATCAGTAATCTCTTGCCCTATGTATCTGCGGGATGTTAGTCTCCCTGCATCTTTCATGAACCATGCCTGTTGCCCTTCATGACTTTTCTTAGCCTGAATTAAGCTTCTGAGCTTTGAGTTAGGTGAAATTGACACCAATCCTTCAGGCAGCCCCCAGACAGAATAGAACGTTGCAAAATGGATACAGTTTGCCCTCCCTGCTTTAGGGAAGGGAACTGGCGACTGGACAACCACATTCTCTAAATCATACTATGGTATAGTGTGTACCATACCAGTTGGGCACGGGGTAAGAGCAAGTAAAAACATCACAAACATTCCTATCATTCTGGATGTGGCTTATTCTTGATTGTCTACTTGGTTGCTATAGATTTTTGATTCCCAAATCTTCTATAAAATTACTTTGTTCTGTCTCTACTTTACTTAGGGTCTCTATGGGAGAACAAGGGCCTGGAGTTTCCTAGTCTGCCATCTGGATGATGTCACTCCATCTGAATATCACCTTTTTTAACCCTTATACCAAGACCATTATGGAACTCCTGTTATTACCCGCATTTCACAGATAGGAAGCCAAGACCTCCAAATTTAATCAACTCACTCCAAGTCTGGGAGCAAGAACAGTGCAAAGTGGGATTCAGACCAGGCAGTCTGGGACAGAGTTCACATTCTGAACCTTTCCACTGTCTCTTTATATTGGTGGGTTCTCCCCTCATCAATACTGAAATTAGACCATGTAAGGGCCCTAATGTCAGGAAACTCACCTGGGCTTAGAACTTTAAACTGTTTTTGTGATTTGTAATGCTGCTCTAACAGCAATATCTTGTGTTATATAACATATCATTTTACCCATATGTTGGTATAGGTCACACAGGTGTGGGCATGAAGTGAATTTTGGTAGGTACCTCTCTAAGTGGTGTTCTGCCCACCCTCCATGCTGTGCAGGGGCTTGTCTTCCCTGACGTTTCAGAGTGTTAAGTTAGATGAATTATGTAAACTGCTTAGGAGAAAACTAGACACAGCCTACGCCTTTGGCACATGTAGTCTTGAATATTTCAGTGTTTTTGTCATTGCTTTATTCATTCTTGACAGCTCCATAGTGATGACCCAGGGCTGGCGGTGCCAACTCAGCTCCACTAGAGGTGTTTCCGGTCCAAACCTCCTCTCAGTGAAGCTCCTAATCATGCTTGATCACAGCTTTTCTGGAATCATCACCTCAGGCTTGCCTCCAAAGCTGGGCTGTGGGAAAGAGTTCTGTTAGAATTGACAGAAGAACAGGGAGCAACAACACAAAACAAACCCAGACAAAAAACAACAGACTGAACTTTCAGTCTGGCCTGAATGTTTGTCCTCCACCTTATCTGGGTGAGATAACTTTTGGAGAAAGCCAGTAATCTGAAGACACTTGTTGTTTTCTCTTAAGAAGGGGTTAGCATCTTTGCTTTGGGAATGAGAGTGGCGATGCTTTCCAAACCTCAGCGTGAGGAGTTTGCAAATAAGTCTACATCTGATGATTTCAGGTGCGGTGGTCCAGGAAATTGTGCACAAGGTGATTCATCTGCTTCCTGTCTGCAGCTAGTAAATGACACGTGTTCCTTACATAATGTTTACATTGTCCAGTGCTTATCACCCAGAAGCTGGGACCCAGTGCTGGTTCCAGATGTGCTGATGGTGCAGGGTACTTTGCCCAAAGCCCCGTGCGGGATAAAAGCACAGTTTATCCCATAGGTTTTGCTTTTTGTCTGAACATACGTTAACACCCCTGAGCACACCCAACCCGGACCTTGAATGACTGGGTGTTGGTAAGGGTGAAGGTCAGGTGAACAAGCGTGGGCTGAGTTGAGAAGTTAATCCTTGCTGCATAAGGGCCAAAGGTGTATACTGCCTACACGTGTATGAGGATGTGTCTGGACAAGGTCTTGTGGCTTAAGAGCCTGCAACACTCAGCCTATTGAGCAATTTTAACAATCATAGAAATGATTTTTCTGTCCAGCTCTATCTTAAGCCTGGCCATTCCAAAGCTTATTTTGAAAGCTTTTCTCTTCTTACCACAAAACCACCCAATTCCAAACTCCATCAATAACCAATTTCTAATAAAGAGAAGAAGCCGGGCACCTCCAACTCTTTAATTTTGCTTCTTCTTCTGTAAAGTGATTTCTTTTTTGCCAAATCTTACCAGAACTCTTGTGTATTAAATATTCACAGTGATCTAATCATTGCAGAGCCTTTACATTCACAGAAATGGACCTTGAGGAGTGAGTTGATAAATCCAGTGATGACATCCTTGAAGAGATTTACTGTATATTGATAGTATTAAATATGAAGAACTGACATAACTATTCCTATCATTCAAAATTCTTATTCCATAGATTAAACACACACACACACACACACACACACACACACAAAACCCCAAAACTTGCATGTTATTCTGATTCCTAGGGGAGCAGATATTCATGGTAGAGAATTTGAAAATATAAAAAAAAGTACCAAGAAGTGAAATTAAAATCTCCCGTAACCGCCCTCAGAAAAAGTTGATATTAGCACCATAGAGGTGTTTTCCCTGATGTACATATACAGACTTAAACAATGAAGCTGAGTTAGAGCCTTATGGTGTATTCTGTTGTTCAGCCTTAAAACATCTTGTCATATAGTGAATATTTTCTCCTGGCAGACAGAAAGATTATTCTCGAATGCAGATTTCAATGGCTGTCCTGGAATTCAATTGTACACAGCTCCCAAATGTATTCCATCTAACCCCTGTTGCTGATCATGGTTTCAAAATTTTCACAACTCTAAATAAAACAGCGATAAAAATCAGATTTGCATTCCTCATTATTTTCTTAGAATAAAGCCCTAGAATTAAAATACCTGGGTTAGAATGTGTGCACCATGTTCAAGGTTTGGGGATTTGACTTTTCACTGCAGTCCTGAGACATATTGCACGGTCTCAGGCACAGGCTGTTCCCCTTCTCAATGATTTTCATGCTTGGAAAGGTCATGTTTTGTCTCCTTTTCTATGATATGTTAGGTGTGGCCACAGGAGGAGACATGGGAAAGGCACACACACCAAAACCCTCCAAAGCTGATCATACTCACAGGTCCTAGAGGGGGGTTATCGCATGCCATGCATGATCACAGGGGCAAGCACCGGGTTTGGGGAAGCAGGAAACGCACAGAAGACAGGAGTGAGGGGAAGGTGTTGGCCACCGGTTTCTGTGGGAAAGGCAAGACAGGACAAAGTGAGCAGGATAGGATTGGCAAGTTTGAATAATTTCTGTGGCTCTAACTATGGGGCGGTCTCCAGTTGGTTCTGGGATGATAAAGACAGGAATTTTGCCTCCCGGGCTGGGTAGGCCAGCAAGAGGAAGTCTGGCCTGGATTGCTTAGTTTGCAATATCAAAAGCCATGCTTGCTGGGCTCTTTAGAATTGGCTAGCCCAGAGAAGGGCAGTCTCTCCCCAGCTGGAAAGGTTTTTTTTTTTTTTTTTTTTTTTTTAAGATGTCAAAACATCATACTGTACAGGTAATAAAACCACATACAATTCAGGGAATAAAGCAGTGAACCCTCTTCTTATGCTTGAACCTGCTGGACTATGTACAGGGCCATGGGCCTCCCTTCTGTGATATTTCCACATGCAGATTTCACTGGTCTTGAAATGATAGGGTAGATTTTGTAGCTTTTGGCTATTTTAGCTGTCAGTCAACATTTCCTGAGTAGCTGATAAAAAAAAGAAAGCACTTGCCCCAAATACACCTCAGGCACTAAGTCTAGAACTGAAATGTCCCTGCTAGTCACACATTAAATGCATTTCTGGTTTGGGATGCCCTGAAGAGGAAGGGCTTGAGGAGGGCACACAGGACAGAGTGGGTGTGTGAGGGTCACTGAGACACATTTTGCCCATACCTCTTTTGGCCAGGTTTGGCCCTTTTCAGGAGTCCAGTAGCCAGGAAAACCTCTCCCTGCTGCAGAGAACTTCCTTCTTATGGCAGCATGGACAAGTTGGATCTCAATAATGGAGAAGTCCCAAGGCACCTCTGTCACAGACCACAGACCACCTGTTGAATGTCCCTCTGGCTTCAGGACAATGACCGAGCTTGCTTAACAAGGGGCACATTACGTAGGTTCTGTATGAGCTTGGCGTAGTTAACAGGGGGTTGTTTGCAAGGATACTAATCATAGAAGAACAATGGTACCAATAGTTGCAGTTAGTTATGAAGCATCTCTTGGCACCAAGCACAACTGGCAGAGTTCCTGAAATATATTGCAGTGTCCTGAGGGGGGTTATACCAAGTCACTTCAAGCAACCTCAAACTCACCATCCTCATGGTGTAGACAGGTAAAGTGACATTTCCATCCCAGAGTTGAGAAAAAGGAGGTGTATAGAAGTTATGTGATTTTTCCAAGATCCTAGAGCCAGAATTTAATGGAAACAGTAATTTAATGGAAACAGGAATTATTCCCACTTTATTCTAACCCTAACCTAATACTCTCTCTACTATTATGCGTTGCTTTGTTTGAAGATGAAAGCACATTTGTTTTGTGTTTTTGTTGAGACTGCAAAATCAACAACAGTTACTGATGACCCTTGGTTGGAGTTTGGATAACTTGAAAATTGCCCTGCACAGATTTACCCCCAGGGGCTGAAGAGCTTTCTGTCTGAGGTGTCTGCAGAGGATCCTTTTGGGTCTTCATTGGGTAAATCTTGTACAGAGTGGCTCCAAGTCTGTTAAGCCAGAAATCAAAATCAGTTTCTTTCTTTCTTTTTTTTTTTTGGCTTCTAATGGATTGCTCATTTCAACAACCTTCACAGTCCCTGCCTTGTAGGAGTTTGTATTCTGGAGGCATTGCAAGGTTTGTGGTTGAGATTTATAGACAAAGAGCCATATCTACCAGCTCCATCCGTCCATCCATCCATCCATCCATCCACCCATCCGTCCATTTATTGTATTTTTGCTATTAGGCAGCTCAAAAATAAACAAATCTTGTATCAATCAGGATAAGTTTGGTTGTGCTACAGTAATTCACTCTTAGTGAACTGAAACAGGAAAAATTGATTTCTCCTGCCTGGAACATTGCTGGTCACCATAGCAGAGAGGAAAGTTCTGAAAGCAATTAAATGCTCTGGCACTTAAATGCTCTAGCTTGGGAAAGTGGCAGGTGCCATTTCCATCCTAAGTAAGCGTCCAGAGCCAGCCCCATGGAACCATCAGCAGAGGACAAAGAAGGACAGTCCTTTCCTGAACCTAGAGGGCAGGTGGGTGTGGCCAGCATTTGCAGAACAGTGTTGCTGACCACAGATCTCCTAGTTCAACAGAGGGTTTCTAATCATTTGGGGATGTGGTGCTTACTCACGTTGATCAAAACAAGAGTTGACCTTTGGTCTGGCGTTGAGGTTAGCTTGAGGAACCGAGTGTGGATTTTTAGAAGGTGAATACAGATTTTAGGCCAATGTTTGCTAAACCTCACTGTTTGGAAATAGTTTTGCTCTTGCAGCTTAAATTTTTCTTTGCTACCTATTTCAGATGAGGGCGATAGAAAGGGGAGAAACAGAATGAAAAAAAGAAAAGCATGCAAACACTCGACTGCAGACCAAACACTCATCCCCAAACCTCCTTCTTTGTCCCTTTTTGGCTTCTGTTTTCTTTCTTCCTCCTCAGCTCATGGCATTTGCTTCATTCAAGTCATTTTAAACACTTGACTATTTCCTAAGTCAAAAGAAAAATGAGAGTATTAATAGCAGAAAGATTTAAAATCTGCTCTTTTTTTAAAAAAATAAATATTTTGGCTTTATCTTTTGAAAGTCTTGGCTTTACTCTCTATGCCTGCTGCTTTATTTATTTAGACCTAGCCAAGAAAATTCCCCTTCCCCATGAGGTATCTGCAAAATCTGCTGTCCTATGTGCTTGTGAAGGCCAGAGAGAGGGCTGTGGCCCCATGGCCGTGTGGCCTCGCGGCCGACCGGGCGTTAGTGAAATCCCTCCGAGCCCTGTGCCCGCAGCCAGAGACAACAGCTTTTGGCTGTTTCTGGCAGCTACTTAATTTCCCCTGAGCAGGTCGTAAATCTCCTTGCTGGGCTGCCTTCCTCCACTGGGAATGCCGGAAACACAGTGCAGCTTGAGGTCTCATGGCTTCCCAGAGGTATGACAAAAACACAACCAAAGGATTGGGGGGCAAGTGACATTTGTCCTCTGCACAATTTTTACCTTAGGTTTCTCACCATCTTGGCCCTCCAGGGGACTTCTACCTGGAAGGTAGGTCCAGGAAGTCCCCTGTGACTGTCCCCTCGGCCCAAGCGCACAGGTACCAGGCTTCTGAAGAGAGACAAGTTGGATGCAGCTGAAAGTAGAGTTTTGCTTGAGTCCTTGTCACTCATGGTCATGTAAGACAAGGATGTGGAGTCACACTGCCTCCCGGTATGGCCAAGTCCTACCCTCCATCTTCTCTGCAGGTCTGGGGACCCATCATCCCCAAGCCTGGACCACAGTGACTGTGGGACCCAGCCACCCCCCGACGCAGGTCCGTGCTGACAGCAGCCAGGCCTTGGGCTCTTTCTCCCCCGCCCAGAGACCGACCCACTGCGCAACCGGCCCTCCTCCCTACCTGCCTTGGTGCCCCCAGGGACCGGCCCCTCCACTGCCACTTTGCCCTCTAGATCCTGTGGCTTTTTAACTCTTTCTTTTGTTCCCTCACCTTCTCTGGGGTCTGGGTCCCCCCTCTGATCTCTGCCTCTCCAGGGAAGCTCTGTCCCCTCTGCCTGCAGCAAACATCCTTCCACACACAGACACAAACATGCACAGCCAGCACACACACCACACACGGTTCACAAACTCACATCAATACATAGATATATCACATACACTCACATCACACACACCACACCCCCTCACATACACACACCGCACACACACTCACATCACACACACC